GCCACAGCTAGGGCGGCGGTGAAGAGGGTAAAGGAGGCGGAACTAAAGGCTTCTAAGGCCGTGGAGGAATGGAGGGCTTCTCCATCTTTTGACGTTCTAGCTCAAGATGCTTATTTGTGGCCTTAGGAGAAATCATTAAGTATGTTAATAAAGAGCGGCCAAATTGGAACACTGAGTTCTTGGCTGAGGCATACAAAGAGCAACAAAAGGAACTGGAGCAACTGTCCTCGTCAGCTGGAGTTTGAATTACGCCTGCTGAGGAAGACGCAGTTCATGAATATGTGCCTCCCCAAGACCTTCCGGCTCAGTAGTTTTGTGGTGTATTTCAGTTTTTAGTTCCCAAACTTTTAGGATCTTTTAAGTACTATTTGTAACTTTCGATCTTCGTTTGAATGAAATTATAATTTTGTTTCATCAAGTATTTTACTTCTTTTTTGACCATTTCATACACTTCTCTGCACTAAGTGTTTTATAATGCATACGACTTTTTATTTAGGTCGCTTTACTAATAACGTATTTTTAAGATCGTGTACTAAGCGTAGTGACAAATGCAACCTTGATTTGGTCTTTAACTTATAAGCAAGTTTCAAAAGATCTCAACTTTTCATAAGAAATTTTACTGATTATTTAATATTTTCAACCTTAGTTTGATATCCTTTTATAGGAATTTTCACTAAGTGTTGCATCACATGCAACCTCAGTTCGGCCTACTCATGAGTAGGGCTTTGATATTCCTTTATAGGAATTTTTACTAAGTGTTGCAGTACATGCAACATCAGTTCAGCATACTCGTGAGTAGGGTTATTACTTCTCACGATCAGTATACTTGCGGAATCACACGAGCAAGCGTATACTTAAAACTGATGCTTAATCTGATCTTAGTTGGACAACTTAATAATAAAGGCCATAATGTGACTTTTAGTGCTGGTGCTTGAAAAGTTATTAAGGTAGCCATGGTCGTTGCTCAAGGAAATAAATTTAGAACCATTAAATCACTTCTAATTGTAGAGACATGGCTACGGTTGTTGATTCTAGTGGTGTCAAATGAGCCGAGCGGCTCGTCGGCTCGCCCGCTCGGCTCGTACTGTTCACGCCCACGAGCCGCTCGGGCTCGTAAAAAAACGAGCCCGAGCACGAGCCGAGCGGGCTGGTGGGCTAGACGA